CACTACAGATTCATTATTAGTCAAGAAAAACTCTTGTAGGCAAATGGTATAATTAATTTAATATTAGCCTAGATGTTAAACACATCAGAAGGAATTTTCTACAAAGAAATATTCTAGTTTGATGAACTGCCACCTTCTCCACTACAACTATAAATTATTCCAAGGCAAGGACTTGTTATTGAGTCAAAGGAGTATCTTTGGGAGGTAAAGCATAACTATTACTAAAATGTCAGTATAAACTTGAGAAACACTCCTATATAAACCACGAAGACTTGAGGCATGATCTTTCTGCTATTTCTTTTTACAAGAATTTCTCTACATAATCTTAAGAATAATTATTCTTGGGGGACCAGCAGTTAGTGTAATGGCTATGTCCCTGGACTCCCCCGTAGTCAACCGCGGTTTGAGTCCCGGACCCGGTGGCTTAAAAACTCACGCCGGGCACGTGTGCGTGCATGCCCAAGATCCCGAGAGGAGAATGGAGAAGAAGGGATTGCAGTATGTCCATCCCCCCTGGGGGGTGATTTCTCGCTTTCTGTCTCTCTGTCTGTCTGGTGAGCGCACGCGCCCTATAGCAAAAACCTCTCCAAAAAAAAAAAATGAATAACTATTCTTGCTGCATCTTCCAAGTTAAGCGATCTCTGGATGCATCTTCCAGATTAAATGATCCTTGCACAGGTGCCATGAACTAATACCAAGGTGTTGCTTATTGACAGGTCAGCAGGGCTTGGTTGACTGGTTTTCCCACCCATGACAGATTAGAAGGCATAAATTAGAAAGAAGGAAAACACAGCTCAAAACACCTGCTCAGGGACAAGAGACAGCTGACAATCAATAATGAAGGAGAAACCCCAAAATGTGCCCAAATGTTATCTATATCTACATATATAGAACTCTGGGAACAGTGAGACATAATTAATGACAGATAAAGATGACAGATCTGTGATGATATAGATAGGTACATACCAATGACCTCTCCACACCAGAGTTTGAATGAAGAAGTTGGTTCATAACATTCACCCATGGAGCTATTAGCTTACCATGGCTAACCTTTGCTATTTTACCCCATGGAATATTACTACCAGCTTCAGTACTTTCCAAATTCCAACCTGGCAGACTTGGATTCATCCTACACTTAGACAACGGGGATTCGAGAAGTCGTACCGACTTTCTTATTCCATTCTCACTGCTCCTGGATTGTATTCCACATGCGTGCCTACTAGTGAAGGATTCAGCGCTCCAGGTCCTCTGAGATTCCATCTCATTTTCTAGTTTTCCCTGGCACCTGCTTTCTCTCTGTGGCCCAATCCCTCTTCCTTCTGGTCAGAGCCCCCTGGTGCTGTTGTCTCATCTACCTGGACTTGGAAGGACTGCTTCCTGTTAAACCTACCTGCTGTGGCTCCTCCAGTCACCAGCAGGTCACTTACTGGGTTTCACACTGATTCCCACTGTCCCTGGCAGCCTTTTTCTGCTGCTGGCTCACAGTAGGATCCATTCTCCTGCTCTGGTTGTCCCATCCTGCCACCACCCTGACCTGGACTGTTACACTCTATGTGAGAAGAGTTCTGGATCTATCCACTTCTGTTACAGAAGAAGAGATGTTAGACGATATTTGCATAAACTGTCACTAGTAAATATTAAAGAAAACTTGAATGTCTTTAGTCAGTAAGTTTTTAGGTATCTAGAAAAAATAGCTCATGTAGAAAACTTCAGATGGTAACAACAGCAGGTGGAAGTAAAGGTACTTACTTCCTCATTATTCCATCTGGCACAGACATACTTAAGATACTTAAAGTGTCACTTTCAGAGGAACTCAATGCTAAGTCTGGGGACATTAATACTTAGATATAATTGTCAGAGAGGGCATGCACTTGCCAGATAAAGACAGAAAGAGGGAGAGAAAGCATTCCTCAGTGGGGTGCAGTCAAGCCACAATCCTTTACCCTCCATTTCTCTATCCTGTGAGGATTTGGGGCATGTACTCATATGCACTCAATGTGTTTTTCAAGCTTCTGGGCTGGGATTTGAACCCTGATTAGCCATGTGGGATTTAGCTTCTAATGCAAAATGCTTAACCACTCCACTAAGGGACATTAGTTTCAATGAAGCCGGGTCTATCTTCTCAGGGACTCTGGTCTGGGAGGGGAGCTGCTTCTACTTCCACAGAAATGGAAAGAATATTACCAGTAACAAGAAGTCTCAGTATCGCCATTGGGAAAATAATCTCTTTTGCATCTAGCTCAACAATAATCTGACAGACAGAGAGGTTACAGCTCTAAATTACACAGTCTAGATCCCTTTTACATCAAGCATTCTTTTTTTCAGCATGGACTTAGGACAAAGTGATTACCTAGGAAGGCTGGTAAATATTCAGGTTATCATCCTGCCACTTATGTCTGTCCCCTTAGGCTGTGTCCAGGTTTGGGAATTTGGCATAACCACACTGAGAGGTGCAGGCCTATGGCTACCTACGTGGTCTACGCCTGCCACAGGGCCCCAATCCAGATTCTGAGCACCCTAATATCATTAGAGCAATTTTCCTTATCAAGAAAGCAGCTGACCAGAGTCCATGATCTCGTTCAATTGCATCTCTCACCATTTTAATGATAAAATTGCACATGCCAGTCCTCAGGGCTCACATTTAATGGTGACTTACATTGAGAGGAAAATTTATTATAAAACCACTAATAGGCAGAAGAGAGAGAAATAGTCCTCATATTTAGGAGAAAGTGCATCAAGAAAAGGTTTTTTTTTGTGTGTGTGTGTCTATATTAGTATTCTTTATTTTATGGCTTCATTCACATGATTGGTCACCAGCAAATCTCTGTGTTGTTCAAAGGTAATACTCTGACTGAGAAAATTGAGGAGCAAGATCCAGATTGCATGACCAAGGCAACTCATTTATCAAAAAAAATACTCTGACAGAGAAAATAAAGTGAACTATTCTGTGCTATTAATCACAGCACAAGTATAAATAAAATCAGGGTCAATGCCAGTTAGTCTTATATTGCCTTCAAAGAGAAAACCCGGTAAATTAAATAACTTAAACTGATCACACTATCCACAGTAATATGGGCAAATACTATCCAAGCCTTATAAATAAGTTTTGGCAAACTTGCAAGAACATTTTCTTGAGTTGCTTGTAAAGAATACTAATTCCTGGGCCAGCTAATAGCATGGTAGTTAAGACAGCTGAATTCTCAACTGCATAGCTCGAGTCCCAGACCCTGAAGCTCGAGAACTACAGTAGATAAATGCACACATGTGCCCAAAGGAAGAATATAGGAGAGGGATTGCGGCAAGGCCATACCCAGTGGCAAGGAGGGCTTTCTCATTTTTTCTCTCTCTCTATCCCCCTGTAGCACCCCTAGCAAGGGTACAGGGTACATGCTCTTTTGGAAATTTTTTATTAAAAAAAAAAAAAAACAATGCTGGGAATAGCAGTTGGCGTAATGGTTATGTCACTGGACTTCCATGTAGTCGATCGCAGTTCAAGTCCCAGACCCGGTGGCTTAAACTCATACTGGGCATGTGTGTGTGCGTGCCCAAGATCCTGAGAGGAGAATGGAGGAGTAGGGCTTGCAGTATGGCCCTCCCCCGTGGGGGGTAATTTCTCTCTGTCTCTCTTTGTCTCTTTCTGTCTTTCTGGCAAGTGCAAGCACCCTATAGCAAAAACTGCTCCAAAAATAATAATATAAATTTAAAAAGTTTTAAGTAGAGACCAACAGGTAGAGTAGTGGTTAAGACACTGGACTCACTCCCATGTGGGTGACCAGGGTTTAAGTCCTGGACCCAGTGGCTTGAAAATTATGCTGTGTCTATATTAGTATTCTTTATTTTATGGCTTCATTCACATGATTGGTCACCAGCAAATCTCTGTGTTGTTCAAAGGTAATACTCTGACTGAGAAAATTGAGGAGCAAGATCCAGATTGCATGACCAAGGCAACTCATTTATCAAAAAAAATACTCTGACAGAGAAAATAAAGTGAACTATTCTGTGCTATTAATCACAGCACAAGTATAAATAAAATCAGGGTCAATGCCAGTTAGTCTTATATTGCCTTCAAAGAGAAAACCCGGTAAATTAAATAACTTAAACTGATCACACTATCCACAGTAATATGGGCAAATACTATCCAAGCCTTATAAATAAGTTTTGGCAAACTTGCAAGAACATTTTCTTGAGTTGCTTGTAAAGAATACTAATTCCTGGGCCAGCTAATAGCATGGTAGTTAAGACAGCTGAATTCTCAACTGCATAGCTCGAGTCCCAGACCCTGAAGCTCGAGAACTACAGTAGATAAATGCACACATGTGCCCAAAGGAAGAATATAGGAGAGGGATTGCGGCAAGGCCATACCCAGTGGCAAGGAGGGCTTTCTCATTTTTTCTCTCTCTCTATCCCCCTGTAGCACCCCTAGCAAGGGTACAGGGTACATGCTCTTTTGGAAATTTTTTATTAAAAAAAAAAAAAAAACAATGCTGGGAATAGCAGTTGGCGTAATGGTTATGTCACTGGACTTCCATGTAGTCGATCGCAGTTCAAGTCCCAGACCCGGTGGCTTAAACTCATACTGGGCATGTGTGTGTGCGTGCCCAAGATCCTGAGAGGAGAATGGAGGAGTAGGGCTTGCAGTATGGCCCTCCCCCGTGGGGGGTAATTTCTCTCTGTCTCTCTTTGTCTCTTTCTGTCTTTCTGGCAAGTGCAAGCACCCTATAGCAAAAACTGCTCCAAAAAAAAAAAAAAAAAAGCAAAAAAGCTAATCCCTGTATCTTTTTTTTTTCTTTCCTGCTTCTTTGCATCCTTTAACACAGAACAAGATGCTTAAACATAGACAGACACATCCCGTGGAACACCACCAAACTGCTGCAAGCTCTACTGATGGGACATACAGTCATGGATGAATTGACCGATCGATGAATGAGTTAATAGAGCCAGTATGGACTGAACATGAGATATTCTACCACTCACACACTGCACACCAGGAATTGTCTTACCAGCTAGTTAGGCTTTTGCTTCTATTATTGCAGAAGGAGGGTTTCCGTACCCGTCTGCTGGACATATCTTTGATGGCCCTGCAGGTTTTTAATTCTGTCCAACTTGTGTCCGTTCTATGAAGATAAACAGGCAAGAGGAACTAGTTTAGCAGGAAGATGCAGGAGTAGCACATTTTTTTCTAGGCTGTGCATTACGACTTATGCATTATGAATGATTCACATTCAAGTTCCCAAACAAAATAAATGAGTTAATGTGCACAAAACTGTTTCATAAACTTCAAAGCCTTGAGGATTAAAAATATTTTTATCTTTTAATATTGGTTTTCATTGAAAGAAAATATGAAAGAAATGGTTTATGCAAAGGTACATCCAAAAGTTTGTAGAAAAAGTCATTAAAATGCAAGTTTATTTTGATGTAAACATTTTTTTAAATTTGTGTTTTATACTATGCATTTCTTAGGAATGTTTTGAAAACCCCAGGTACTTGGGTAGTCATTGTGATAGTCCCTCATTTATTATAACACATTGCAGACAGTCAAATGGAAAACAGCTTAATGAGAATAAACATGCTCAAGGGTTCTGATGGAACAAAAAGTCCTGCTAGCTGTCTTAGATCTGAAAAGGAGGATGTGGTATCACCCTGGAAGCCAGGTATTAACCATAGAGCTACTCAGACAGCACCCACCTACTCACCTCTGTATTTTTAGTTAAGAAATAAACTTTGATCTAATTTGAGTCTCTATATTTGAATACTTCAGTAAAGCTGCTTGGCTTTTTAATGAATACAATTTCTAATCATCAACTGTATATTTATTCAGGTATATTTATTCACAGAAATATAATGTTGTCTTATATATTTTTTTAAATATATAAAATTTAGGGGCCAGATAGTGGTGCAGTAGTAAATAAAACATATCACTGAAAGGCTGACCATCACGGGGATATTTTGGGTTTGTATCAGAAGACCTCCCTAAATATGTCAGCATTGTGGAGTCAAGAATCTCTTAGAGGTGCTGTGTCTCTGTCTCTCCTTTTTTTCTGTCTCTCTCACTTAGAGAATACATAGTTAAAATTTTAGATAAAATACATGAAGTTTACTGTGCCATACACTTCATTCTAAAATATTTCCATCAGTTTACCTGAAACAACACTGTAGTGAACATTCTTACACAACAAATGAATAAAAGAATGTTGTGAGAGTTTGGGTTTGGGGCCAGCAGGTGGCATGCAAGTTAAGGCAGCTGGATCCCATATGGTTGACTGTGAGGTTTGAGTCCCACATCTGGCAGATTTAAATCACATCAGATGATATGCATGCATCCCCAAACTCCCAAGAGGAGAATGAAGGAGAAGGAATTACAGTGTGGCCATTCTCCCTGGGGAGGAGGGGGGAGTGATTTCTCACTTTCTATCCCCCTCTGTCTCTCTCTCTTTCTCCCTCTCTCTCTCTCTCTCTCCCCCTCCATTTCTCTCTAGGGCAAAAACACATGCTCTATGGTAAAACTACCAAAAAAAAAAAAAAAAGAGTTTTGGGTTTCTTAGTCTATACTAAAGATGAAATTATAAGATACATGTATGTATATACATTCATATATACAGATAGGTAAGAGTGTGCATGTGTGTGTGTGTGTGTGTGTGTAACTGCCAAGTGGCTCTTCAGAGTTTGATCTCAGCAGCAGTGACTGAGGGTCCCTCTTGCCAGCATCCTTGCTGGTACAATTTTATAACTGTCTGTCAATCTGGTTGATGAGAATTGATATCTGCTGCTACTATTTTTTTTATTACTATTTTTTTTAGATTTACTCTGTTGCCATTTTTCTGTCTCCTTGAAAAAATGTTTAGCTAAATTTTTCATTTTTGGTACATGAAAAAAACGGCTAGAATCTAACAGTTTCTTCCCAAAGTACCATATTAACAGCATTTCACACATATCATGTTTTTCTTGTTACTCAGTTCTGAAAATTTAACAATTTACATACTGAAGTTTACTTTAACTAGATCATTATTTATGGGTTTTTAAAATAGGTTCCTAGGGACCAAAGGATGACATAGGGATTATGTCACTGGACTCTCACATGGCTGACTGTGGTTCGAGTCCCAGACCCAGTGACTTGAAAATCATGCTGGGCATGTGTGCTTGTGCATGCCCAAGATCCACGGAGGAGAATGGAGAAGAAAGGATTACAGCATAGCCATGTCTGTCTGTCTGTCTGTCTGTCTCTCTCCTCCTCCAGTGAACACATGTGGACTAGGGCAGAAATCTTTCAAAAAATGTTCTTAGTGTCACAGAATTTTTCATATTTCTCAGTTCATTATTCATTCTGGTTAGGCAATCTAGTCTGTGTGATACTAATCTTTTAAAACTACTAGGGTTTTTTTTAGGAAGAGCTATAATAGCACATTATTAATGTTTGACACTTTGTTTTTAGATTATTTATTACTTGCATGAGTGACAGAGACAGAGAAAGATAAACAGAGACAGTATTCCCAACAAGGTCTTGATGCCATGACCTACTCCTAACCTTTAGCCATCTCTGGGCTGTAGGCATGCAGATGCCCAGACTACTCAGGGACATCTCAGGACATGAACTCAGAACCTCCCCATGTGGTCAGCCTTACAGACATCACGTTTTACCAGTGTGCCACCATCTAGCCCCCTTGAATTCCAGAATAGCCTATGAGTGTTCAAAATGAACATGTATTCTGTTTGTTGTATAAAAAGATACCTGCATTTATGCATAATACACACTCACATTTATTGATCTGCTATTTAGTTTCCTAAATATTGCTATATATTTTATTTACTTGTTCTATCAATTTCTTATGAGGCCTCTAAAAATGCTCAGCTCTCATTCATAACATAGTTCCCTTAAAATGGGGACCAGCACTGTGAATTGTATCATTCCTAGGGACCAGCAGAAACAGATCTTCTAGAATCTAGAATCTAAGCTGATGCTCAAGGCTATGTTTTTCTTGTTTCTGTCATCTTTTCCTAAATATTGTTAAATATCGTATGTGAAATATACCTACCTACTGCTCTCTTCAGCCGTTCCTTTGGGGAAATGGGAATGCAGCTAGCTCTTCCGTTTCCAGCACCACTTTTTAGAGAAAAGAATGTTTAAATAAATTATTAATTAAGAAGCACTTTCTGTACAGACCCAACTCCTAAGAAATCACATGACACTTTTATATTGGAAAACATAATTTATGTGGTTTAACAAGAAAGTTTAAAAGTAGATTATACATCAACAGCTCTCTTCCCATTAGTCTCTTTACATGTTCTGACCAGATCTCTGTAAGTTATGGCCCCTTCATGGTAAAGAAACCTAACATGCAATTCCAAGGGCGAAGGAAGGGCAGGATTTGGCTGAGATCTGTAAATGCAAATTTGAAGTGTTCTGCAGGGAAAGTGAGACTTCATCGAAGGTGACATGCCTGTAGAAAGGAGATGTGCTGAGTAAGCACCAGGGCTGAGCAAGCAATTTGGGGAAGTGCCATAAGCTTCAGGCATTTAGAAAGAAATGCATTGAAAACGTAATTGGGAAAAGCTTGGGTAATTAGACCTCCATGCAGCATCAATCTTTAGGACTTCAAAGGCAGCAGGAAACAAATTGGCAAATCGATAGGAAACAGTGATAATGCATGAGCAATAATAAATACACCCATAAGGAGAGGCATACTGTGTCTTACCTTCTGGATAAACAGCATTACAAAAGTCTGGTTTTAAGTCAAATGTTTACAGACATTGATTTATACATATGTGTGTCATGTCTTAGGTGTATGTACAAGAGAAACAGACATGTTAGCACAATAGAAACTGTCTCTGTACAAAGTGGTCTTCTGTGGCACTAAAGCTCTAATCTATGCTAAAGGAATCCACTCCACTCTAACACAGAATGGGGAGGGGAGAAGACGACAATGCAGGAAACCTTCCTACAAGAAAAATAATCATCTGTATAACTAATTTTTTTCTCCGTAGATAAAGAAGCTGTACAAAGAAAAGGCAAAAAACAAACAAACAAAAACAAAACAAAACACCTTTTTAAAAAAAGAAGATGAGAGATATGTAAATCTGAAAAAAAGAAAAGAAAAGAAAGATACAGTGATAAAGACTCAATAAAAGAAGAACTTTCTGTCTCTAAATAGCACCCAGTTTAATATCCTCAGTTCCTCTCCATTTTGGAAAACATAATTTAAATAACCTTAGGTCTTGTGAAACACACACCACTTGAGAAACTCAACAACTCAACTAGGCTTTGACTGTAAGAAACAAACTAGGCTTTAACTGTGCTTCCTGCCTGCCAGTCGACCCCTCCCCAATATTTCCTTTGCAGAGTTGAACAGCACTTATATAAAAAGCATATTCCAAATGTGACCTTGCCTCAGGCCAAGTACATGGTTGAGTAACAGTCACTGAGTGTCCTAAACCACTTTCTGTTGCTTTATCAGAATACCTGACGCTATAATTGATAAAGAAAGAGGTTTATTTTGGCTCACCATTGTAGTGGCTGAGAAATTCAAGGTCAGACAGTCACACCTGGGGAAGACTCTCACCGTGTCAGTCATACCATGGTGAGGGCCTCACATAGGAGAAGCACATGTGGAAGCAGTGAGCAGGCACAGGGAGAGTGAGGGGTGGTGCCAGGCTCACTTTATAACAGCCCATTCTGCAGGTAACTAAATTAGTCTCCATGAGATGTAGCTCAGTCATGGAGACCTTTAAAGGACCCACCTCCCAACACCACCGCATACAGAGAATCAAGTTTCAACATGAGTTTTGGAGGAAACAAACTACATCCAAACAGTAGCATTCAGGTAGCTCAAGAAATAAATTTCTCCACAAACTGGAAGTAACACAAGATTCCCATAATCCTGCTCTCATATTCTCAGTGTCTTAAATGCAAGATTAACTAAACCATCTATTCTGTCAGTTCACTCATTCAACAAATATGTATTGAGTTTCTACTGTATTCAGCAATTGTGGTAGATTATAAGGACAGAACAGTGAAAAAACAAAACAACAGTATGAAACTCCCAGTCTTCTTGAAACATATGCTCTAGTGAAAGACAGTTAAGAGCTCTCAGGTAAAATATGAATACTATAGCTGTGATATTTTATTGTATGCTAGAACCTTGCAGAGAGTTGATTTTAGGTGTTCTTATCACACACACACACACACACACACACACAATGGGAGTCCCAGATATAGATATTTCAATTGGTTCAGCTTGCACTAACTGACTAAAAACTTAAAGTTTGAGCACACTTCCGACATAGTGGGTACTGAAACTGTTGTGCCCAGACCAGCAACAGGTAAGAGCAGAGGTTTCCATAAAAAGATTTAAACAAGTCGGATTAAGACCCTGAAGCATTTCTGGAAGACTTGTAACAGGACATGACACATGACTCTACTGTTACAATCACAAAGACAAGCACAAGCAGAGGAATGACTGCCGAGAGTGGTCCGGTCAAAACAGCAGAATGGCCAAGTGCAAAGGTCATGGCAATAAAGAGATGCTCAATGCATTTAGCTTGTTGACTTTCTGGAAGGCTAATGAGCTATAACATCTGCTTATTATGAGAAGGTCAGCAAAAGCTTTAGCAGAAAAGCTTCAACAGCGGCTAGGCTACATATTCTTGCTTATTAGTCTCACCAGAGAAGAGCAATTTGTGAGTTTCAATGGAAAACCATTAACTATCCATCTTAGAGTTCTGACTTGGCTCCTCTGGACTTCTTTTTGTTCTGAATCTTAGTAGGTGGCATAATGGTTACGAAGCTGGATTCCCACATAGTCAACCGTGGTTTGAGTCCCAGATCCAGCAGCTTAAAACTCACACCAGGCGTGTGTGTGTGCATGGCCAAAATCCCAAGAAGAGAATGGAGGAGAAGGGATTGTGGTATGGCCTTCCTCTCCCAGGGGTGAGTTCTCACTCTCAATCTCTCTCTCTCTCGCAAGTGCTATGTGCCCTATTGCAAAAATCTCTCTCTAAAAAAAAAAAAAATCTTTAAAGGACACCTTTTTTTTATAGTTAATAATGTAACAAAGGACTGCATTAATGTGGTAAAGTTCCTAAAATCTTCAGGTCTTTAGGAATAAACTCAATGACCAGTATCATCACCTAGAAAAGTATCTCAAACTTGGGAACAGCAGTTAGTGTAATGGCTATGTCGCTGGACTCCCACGTAGTCAACCGCAGTTCGCATCCTGGACTCGGTGGCTTAAACTCACACCGGGCGCGTGTGCGTGCGTGCCCAAGATCCTGAGAGTAGAATGGAGAAGGGACTGCAGCATGGCCATGCCCCCTGGGGGGTGATTTCTCGCTTTTTGTCTCTCTGTCTCTCTCTGTCTGTCTGGCGAGCACACACACCCTATAGCGAAAACCTCTCAAAAAAATTTTAAAACGTATCTCAAACTCAATAGAACTTATGTTGAGAAATAAAGTTTATATTTTTTACTTTTATTTTTTAATTCCATTTTTCCCATGAACTTTTGAAGTCCCCTCGTGTGTGTGTGTGTGTGTGTGTGTGTGTGTGTATGTGTGTGTGTATACCCATCCTTCCTTTTCTGGGATCAGTCCTAACCTACCTAGTCATGGTATCAGTTCAAACATAACCAGGTAGTATTAAAATTGACCCCAGGAACGTAAGGATGGGTTAATATTAGGATAGGTTAGTTAACATTTCATACATAAATGCTATTCATCATTTATCATCTCAACAGAAAAGGAAAATTAATACAAATTTCATAGAGAGATTTGACAAAGTATAGCACAAATTCTCAATAAAAATTATTAGTAAAATTAGGAAAAAGAAAATTGCCCTCACTTATTTAAAATATTATACTATAAACATCATCCCAATACATATTTCCACTGTTTTTTTTATAATTATTTTATTTAGCTTTATTTATTTATTTATTTTAATTTGACTAGAGAGGGACACACCAAGAGAAATAGAGAGACAGAAAGCAAAGCCACCAGGTTCAGGACTCAAACCATGGTTGGCCATGTGGGAGTCCAGTACTCTTAACAACCATGCCACCTGCCAGCCCCAATACTTCCATTATTTCTACCTTTCAACATTTTTATTAAAGGGGCCAGTAAATTGTGTAGCAGTTATATTGCTGGACTTCCATATGGCCAGCCACAGTTTGAGTTCTGGACCTAGTGGCTTGAAAAATCACCCCAGGTGTGTGCACGCACAAGATCCCAGGAGAAGAACAGAGGAGAGGGGATTGCTGACATTGGATTACAAAATCAATTTGTAATTAAAGGGTAGGCCAGCCAGTGTCATGGTGGTTAAGGCAACCAGATCCCACAAGGCCAACTACCAAGTTCAGGTCTCAGACTCTGCAGCTTGAAAAATACTCTGGGTGCACGTGCGTGTACCCAAAATCCCAAAATGGAGGGCAAATAGAGGACGAAGGGATAATATTATGGCCATACTTCGAGAGGGGTGTGGGGGGGATGCTTTCCCACTTTACCACCTTCTCTATCCCCAGGGAGTTCATGTATCCTCTGGCAAATTAAAAAGAAAATCTACTTTTTTTAATCAGGGTTTTAGTAAAGATATATTCTATAGATACAATATAGCTAGTGGTGTATCTAAATCTTTAAATAGGTCAGGCCTTTACTGCATTCAACACACACACACGCACTTGCGCGCGCACACACACACACACACACAATGTGAAAATTATATTAGCTGATATGAAAACCAAGGCTACTGGAATACTGCTGAACTCATTTCATAAAGAACCTAGCACAAAGCCCTCATAGTACACTGAAGCTATTTTGGTTTTTATGTCTTCAGTGGATAGAATTCTAATCACATTTCCAAGCTGTAACAAAATGCCATCCTGGTAGAGAAAATGCACCAAAAATCTTTTTTTCTTTCATAAGCAGCCACATTTCACACACATCCTACTGAAATACAGTCTCCTTAGTTCTCAAGATTATTCTGTGCATAAAAGCCCATCTTTGTCTTCATCTGAAACAAATCTTGGGCTCTCTGAAGCTAGATTCTAACCACACACGTCTCCATAATTGGCTTCCTGTAGGGACCACCTATTAAAGTTCCTGGCTCTTGTCCTAAGTCTGGATTGTATGTTCACCAGAATTGACTATATCTTTGTGCTAATTATCTGATGTGGTCAGAGAAACAGATTAAATCAACAACAGACAAAAATTCTTTAAAAAATGTGAAATAAGACATTTGTTCTAAAGACTTTCCTCCAGAAAATGAGCCTGGATTACATTTCTTCATCTAAATTCTAAAGGTGGTCACTTCTGACTTTTTATCATTTCTATTTCTGATCCTGAAACTCCTAAATCTGACTTTTCCACAGCAGACACTTAATCATTTCTGAGCAACTGAGAGCCTGAAGCTCAGGTTTACATAAGGGAAAGAAAGAATTTGTTATCACAAGAAGGCACTAACTAAATAGATTTCTCTAAACACTTTAATTTTCCACTGATTGAATACAATTGGATGTAGTTTTTGTCTCATCCCACATTCAATATGATTTAAATATTACAAGTGCTTTATAAGCCGAGGAATTAAAGAGTATATGGTCATATTTGATTTATTGTTCTCAGAAGAAATTCTTGCAAGAGCAGGCCATGGCATTCTCATGACTTGACCATGCAAATCAATCAAGGAATTGCCCAAATCACTAAAAGCAATGAAATATTTGTTAAAGTCTCAATAGATAAGAGATGAGAAATTCATTCTATTCACAAAATGAAGTAAGCCATTATTTTTTATAACAACCTCAATTCATGAAAATCTTTATTTTGTGTGTACATTGACTAATATTCTAATGTAACTATAAACAGTTTGAATTAGAAAAAAAATTTGTTACCTTGCTTTTTTATAAAATGCATACAACTTGCTTTTCAAAGATCTAAGACATGTGTTGTAGAATGTTATGTATTGACTGCTTGAAAATAAATGAAGATGAATATCAAAAACTCAACCTTTTATCTTTGCCAATCTTTGCAGATGTTGATGCACTGTTATCTAAGAACCAGTTTTTAATTTTATTTACTTTTTCTCTTGATTTTCAGATCTTCTGGACTTTTTTTTCAATTTTTCATTTCCATTGTTGAGGTTGAGTAAATTCTATTGATCTCGGTTCAAGTTTACTGATCCGATCCTCTGTTACTCCATTCCACCTATCCAGCTGGATTTTTATTTTGATTATTGTACTTTTTAATTCCGTAACTCATTTAGACTCTCTTAATAACATTTTGATCTTCTGCTCAGATTTTCTGCTTTTTCCTTTGTGTCCATAGTACTTGTAATTAATAGTGAAAGCACTTTTTATGACCACTGCTCTTCATAATCTATGTCATTTGGCTCACTTTATTATTGGTATCAGGTTTTTTTCCTCACTCAGACTTGTTTTCCTGGTTATTGATGTGATAAGTTCTTTTATAATGGCATCTCAGACTTTTGATTCTACTTAAATCTTCCATTTTAGGTTGTGTGTAAGTGAGTTCTGGTGGATTTGAGGGGCAGAGGGAAGGTGTTCCCTTGCGATGACAGCAGTTTTCTGGGCCCTTGTCTTGCTAGTCTGGTCTACTTGCTTCCTCTAACACTGCAGGGGTTCCCGCTCAATCCCTGCTGGTACCATTTTCAGGAAGAGAAGGCACTTCCTGGGCCCCCTTATCCCTGGAAACCTCCTGGGAAAAGTGCAGAAGACTTTGGGTTTGGGTCTCTGTATGCCAGTCCCTGGAGGGCAGAGAGACAAAAGGCTTCACCTCTGTCACCACCACTGCCACCAGATTAGAGCATCCATGGATACCCCAGCTGTGGATCAGGACTGGAATGGTTTGGGCTTTTCCTGCTCTGCTGTCAGAGGGTTGCCTTGCTCAGTGACCTAGTTTACGGAACTGTGACTTGGCGTCCCCCCTAGATCTCTGTTGGACTTTACCTCTCTCGGTCTTTTGGCCAGAAAAGCAGGCTTCCTTCATTTTTGGTTTGGTTTTTGTTTTGTTTTGTTTTCATGTGTGCAGTTTGGGTTTTAGTTTTATTTTTTACCTTACTCACTGCTTCCAGGTTGCAGCCCTCATCAGCACTCAATCCAGGGGTACCCGGTGGACAAACAGAAAACCCAGAGAGCTCACCACATTGCCACCTTCTATGCGTAAGGTCCTAGAAGTCCACATTCTTCTTTCAAGCTCTGAGTCCGTCTGTCATTGTCCTTTAAATGATCTGCAGAGAAGTGAGTTAGTTATATTTAAAGAGAAGAAATGGGGCGAGGGGGAGATGATAGTATGGCATCTTATTTCAGAACTGCAAGCCAATATTTTAATTATACAAAATATCTTATTGGACAAGTTGGAATTGCCATCCAAAGCATAACCTTGCCAGAAACTGATGACATGACTCATCTAAGATTAGAGACCAAACCACTCACAACCTCATGCACGACGTTTGCTCTAGGGCTTTCTACCTTGTTGCTTAGCAACCACACATATTCATTTTCATATATTTAAATAGACTGTATTTCATTATTAAAACAGTAATATCAGTAATTATGTCTGGTAGTTTTCTGGGAATGCTGTACTAATAAGTTTTTCGTTTAGGGCCTCTTGTAGTTTGTCATAGTTATAGGAGGCATCAGAACGATGAACAGAAAGATGAATAGGTACAGATGTCTTGTATTCTTGCTCATAGCTGCCCTAAACTCAAAATAAAAATAAAATAAAATAAGCAGAAAAGATATCCTCTCAGACCGAGATGCCTCATGTCACAAAACACAACCAAAACACAGATACTTTTAAAGCTACATATGTTTTTCAATAGTCAAAGTGTTGGGCTTTTGCCAGATTTTTTAGTTAGGAAAATAGAATTCGAAGATACTGATGCCAGGACAGGAGATGTGGAGTGATGTGGCATGGCACAGCTCTCTGCCCAGACAGTGTTTAACTACCCGCTTTAAAAATTTAGAATCTCAACCCGGCCATCCTCATACTTAGAAACCAGCATAGAATTAAGGCATATTTATTTTCATGCCTCAAGCATGACTTCATTTCAAATGTGAACTTCTGCTTGTGACTTCAACTAGCCAAGGTTAGCCGTTATGATGGAAAACTAACAAAACTTTACCCTTAGGTTTTAGTAAGACTAGCATTCTTATTCTGTAGCTCTAATCTTATTAACTTTGAAGGTCTATTTTGAAGAGATCATTTTAAAACAGCCATTTTACCCAAGATGTTGCATGTGCTTTTCACACATTTATACAGTAAATGAGCGCCTAAGCAAAGGATTTCACCAAACATATATTTAAATTTTAAAAATGACCACTCTAAGTCTTTTTTAGTTTTTAGTGATCCATTACTGATATTTCCAAGAGGTAAGCCAAGATTTGGAGTAAAAGACTTTTAACTAAATTATTCCTTCAGCTTTTGAAATCCACCCTGAAATAACATTAAGTAGTTTTATGTGTTCAGGTAATGAGGCATTAAGCAACCCAATTTCATGTGAATTGAAATCCAAGGTTTGAAATATTAGGCATTTCACACTTAAGATACAGCTCTTGTAATACCCTAAACAGAGCTAACTCCATGGCCTTGTGATCAAGGAAGCCAGATCCTACATGGCCGATGGTGTGATCTGCGTTTGAAACGCCATATCATGAGGCACATGCTGGGTGTGTGTCCATGTGTGCCCAAAATCTCAAAAAGGAGGAGAAGTAGAAGGGGAGGATTGCAGCAACCCCCCTGAGAACAGTAGTCATATTTATCCAGTATGTTCAGTGACCAACACAATCTCTGACCTACATGTGCTAAACGCACGTGCGGATGACTAACCAGAGCCAACGAGACCTCAGGGAAAGCTGAGGCAAGAAGTCTCTTCTTCAGAGTCATACCTAGAACAAACATGGCAGAGCCAGGACTGCAGCTCACATATTCCGAGTGTTCTTGCCATCACATTTCACATTTTTAGCAACTCAAGCGTGAAGTAAAGTCACCTAGGTCGAAGCCCATTTCCAATACACCAAACTCATTTAAATAACCATGGGCAAGCTAGCTTGGAAAGTAAATGTCCTCGCTTGAGAAACAGGTCTAATGATACCTCATTTATAGGACTGCTATTGGAATCAAGTGACATTGAGAACAAATAGACAGGAAATTATAAAGCATTCTGAGAAATAATTACGTACCACCGTCATTACCCTCTTGCATTTTTACTTCTTCTTTAAAAAGCAATTAGTAGCCCAAAAACTTGAAATTAAGATAGAATTAAAATTACCAGCTTTGAGAGTATTTTAAAGCTATTTTTTTTTCCTGACTTGGAAAAACTACACCTTTCTTGAATTTAAAATCTGATCTTATTTCATGTGAGTTCATAATGAAGTTAAAAAAGATAAGATTTTTAGCATCTTTAATTCTTCTCCATATGTTTTTTTTTCCAATTTATTTGCATTCATTCACTGTACATCATTACAGCATACACAATGAGATTTTCCATCCAGAGTACACTGTATATTGTCTCAATCAAGCACATCAACAAACATGTTATTATTAGCAAATGATCTTCCATTTCTTGTTTTCTGTATGTTTTGCTTTTTCTCCCCCATCCTTGGTTCCCTCTCTTACCCTCTGCCACCTCCTGTTCTCCTCCCACACTGTCTCTGTTATCTATTTCTATACCATTTTCCCCCCACATTTTATTGAATCACCAAAGACCCTCATCAATCCAAATACCCTCCTAGTAAACACATGTGACACACACATTTCCATGAGCACAAGTCTAACTTTATGCATCCTATAAATTAGCACCTAACTGGGGCTACATATCCTACTGCAGTCATTGAATAGATACATTTTGTTTTCCTGAAACTTTTTTTTGTAACTCAATTTACATTCCTTCCCTAGGCATCATCACAGCACACAAAATGCGATCTCCCATCCAGTACACACTGCATAGTGACTCAATCATGCACATTACAAAAAAAATAAATTTCCAATTCTAGTTGTTAGAATTATTTCCATCCCTCTTTCTGACCCTCTGTCCCTTCCCCCCCTCCTCTCACACCACCTCCAGTGTCCAAAATTGTCCTCCATTCCCTTCCCACCCACATTGCATTGATCACACAATTTCCTACATAACCTGACTACTTTCAAAGGTGAGTTCCCTCGTTACTACTAAGAAAACCAGTTGTAACTTAAATCAAAGAACCGCCAAGGAACTTTGCTTAAAGCCCGGAAACAGGTTAGGATTCTGTTCAAATGGTAGGTGCATGAACCTATCAGTCTCATATACTTTTATCTTCTGTTCTGGTTCAATTTTCCTGATTAAATTCTGGGATATAGTATTCAACTCCAGACTTGTCCCTATGATTAAGTTAGCTACTTTCTCAGTTTTTGGACTCTTATTTCCATGTATCTGCGTTTAGTTTTCCTGATACAGCACATCCTTGAGAACTTCTTGGAGGTCTGGTCTGGTGCTGGTAAATTCTTTCAGGTTTTGTTTATCTGAGAATGTTCTTGTCTTTTCTTCCCACCTGAAAGATAATCTTGCCGGATACAGTATTCTTGGCTGAAACTGCTTCTCTCTTAACACTTGGAATATATTTTCCCATTCTCTCCTCGCTTTTATTGTTTCTGATGAGAGATCTGCTGTTAGCCTGATGGGATGTCCTTTGTAGGTAACTTGATGTTTTTCTCTTGCTAATCTTAGTATCTTGTCTTTGTCTGCAGTTTTGGTCAACCTGGCTATAATGTGTCTTGGAGAAGATCTTCTAGGGTTGATTCTATTTGGGGTCCGTTGTATTTCCTGGGACTGGATCTTTGAATGCCTCTCTAGGTTTGGAAAGTTTTCTTGCAGGATTTCCTGGAATAGATTATCAATGCCCTTATGGGTTTCCTCACCTTCTGGAATGCCAATTATCCGGATATTTGGACGTTTGATGGTATCCAGTACTTCTCGCATATTATTCTCAAATTTTTGTGCCATTTTCTCAGCCTTCATGGTGGATTTTTCTAGGCCAGCCATTTTCTCCTCTACATCTGAGATTCTATTTTCTGAATGATCTAGTCTGCTTTTAATGCTTTCCAGGGAGATTTTGACTTCTTGTATTATAGACTTCATCTCTAGCAGTTCGGTTTGAGTCTTTTGTAAAGTGTGTAATTCCACTTTTAGATCTTGCAGGAATTTCCTCATCTCTTGGAACTCGTCAATCTCTTTCTCCTTTCTCTTTAGTAGTTCATTATCTCTCTTCTCTTCCATCTCTGTTAGCTTAGACATTATGAATGATCTGAATTCCTTATCAGACATTTCCATGATTTTCACCGAACTGCTTGTGGATGAAGAGTTACTCTTTTCCCTAGGAGGAGAGGTATTTTCTTGTTTTCCCATGTTTCTCGTGATCCGGCGGTGATTTCTTGTCATGTTTAGCTACAGGGCTCTTAGATCTGTCTAAAAACACATTGAAAGGATATTTGGAGGGTGGAAAGACAAGAAAAAAGAAAACGAGACAGAGGAAAACAATAAAAAGAAAAAAAATTAAAAAATTAAAAATTTGTAATTACTGTTCTTTTTTTTAAAAAAAATCACAAAATACAAAAAAATCTAGTTCACAGTAGCCATGTGGAACCTTATTCTGAAGGCCCGTGGCTTCTTCTACAACTGATTCTTGAATGACATAGGCAAGGTTAGGAGTACAGACCACTACCCATCTCCCCCTATCCTGCAGGCAAAAATACATATCTATCTTCTGTACTTTCCAAAATCTAACTGTGAACTTACTGTTGGCCTGAGGCCTTACCAATAACATAGTCAATAATGCACATTTTGTATGTCATAGGCATTTATATACTAAATTCTTACAATAAAGTAAGCTAGTGAAACGAAAATCACAAGGAGAAAATTTACTTGCAGAATTCACTGGAAAACATTCACCCATGTGGAACCTTGTTCTGAAGGCCCGTGGCTTCTTCTGCCGCTAGCTCGTTTGTTGGAGGCTGAATTATTAGCAGAAAATCTTCATTCCCTTAAAAATCTAGTTCGCAGTAGCCATGTGGAACCTTGTTCTGCAATTCTTCTCCATATGTTGAGGGCATCCTCTTCAACAAAATTCATTCATTAGAACAAAATTTTATAAAGTAAGAATAATCAAAAGACATGAGGTTTTATATGTATAAACATGTTTATAACTATAAAATTTGGATACAGTGAGAAAATTACTAGAGGAAAAAAAACGAGTA